TTGGAAGTATTTTTCCATGCAGAGAGTAAATAAGGATTGAATTACAAAACAAATATACAAAGTACAAACAAATGACTTGAAAGGAAGGGGAAGACCAAGAAAGTTATGGTTGGGTGGAGCTGATGAGGTCTGAAGAACAAAAAGCAATATATGAATCAGTGTATGGGAGAGGCAGGGGTGGTTCTTCAAGGATAGGAAAGTATGTTGAGTATAGTGAATAGTGTTAGTGTAACATAATTTTAGCTATGCTTTTTTCTGTTTCATGTTAATTTAATTTCTTCAGTTTGCTTTTTCTTCTTTGGCCCAATTTTATTCTACCACAAAAGGGAATAATGTAATAGATATATATTTACGTGAAGATGTATTAATGGCTTTAGAGTGTGGTTTGTGATGGTAACTTTTTAATCTTAGGTGAGTAGATCTATTTATGTCACATATAAGGAATTTATTGGCTGCATGCATTTTTCTCAGCACCTCTTTTCAACTCCAAATTGAATGGGACCATTTTTTCACTTTTTTTCATTTTGATTGATATAAGGGGTGAAACACTTATTTTTCTTTTTTTGACCCCACTAAACCCTCAAATATGGGCTTGAAAATTCTGGCTCTGCACTTTCCAGTGGTATTACAACATTACTGAACATGCTTCATGTAGCCTCAGTGTAGCAGAAAGAGCAGGGTTGAAACCAAGATTGAAAAAGGTTGGCAACCTTTAACACTCACTGAAACCTATGGCATAGGGATCATAATTTCATAACAGTTCCTTAAAGACTACTACTCAGTCCTTAATAAGTTTATTCCAAAGTAAATCCACACTAAATTCAGTAAGTTCAACTCTACAGCAAGCATTTCTAAATATTATTTATAGGTGTCTGGCTCTTTTTAAAAAGGGTATGAGTCACTTCCAAAACTGAGTATGAGTCAAATTTTGTAAAAAAGACTAGTACTTCTCTGTGTTCAAAGTTCATAAATCTGTCTGGAGTATATATTTTTAAACAATGTTCCTAGAAATATCTACATCCTGCAGGCAGCTAATTCCAAGTCCAAAAAAAATCTCCTTTGGTCATCTCATAGAAACTCTCATAATTTGTTTTCTTGGCTGAGTTTGTTTTATTAGAAAAAGTGATCCTTTCTCAACTCTTTGAATTTATAAGCTTTGAAGAAAAAATATTTAGATAATATTGTAGTCTAAAAAATGTGGACCTTTTAAACTCTATGCTTTTGCATTTAGGAATAAGGATAAAAAGGAGCTTTTGCTACTGGCAATATTTATAAATAATAAAGCTTTATCAAGTATTGTGAGTATCTTAAAAATGCCTAATCCTATGAACTGTATTCTTCAGATCTTTGCTTATGGGAAGCTTCAAGATGTCTATTTCTAATTGTCAATGCCACAGACTAAACTTCTAATGGTGTACATAAAAGAAGGGGAAGGCACATTTTTGGATCTCTGACCACATATGGAAATTAAGTGCAAATTGGGACAATGCTAAGAAAATGCCTGTCATGGGATGGGAAGGCTGTCATGTACAAAGGCAATCCATGTACATGGTGGGATTAGCTGGTCACCAAAACACCCATTGCCAGAAGGACAATTAGTGAAGTTGCTGCTCTCTAATCCCCATAATACACTGTCTACCACTTCAGTTTATTTTTTTATAGCAGGTAAGATACACATCCACCCCTCTTTTTTATTTTTGTATAAATATATAATCTATATGGGCCCCCAAAATATTATTGTAATTGAAGTAAGTATAAGTAAGTATAATTTTATTTCTATACCGCCCTTCTCCCGAAGGACTCAGGGTGGTGTACTATTTAAAAACAAAAGATAAACATCAATTAAAAATTTAAAATTATTAAATAAATTCGGCTCAATTTAAAACCCCAGAAATTTAAAATACCCCAATTTAAAATTATTATGTTGATAGCCCAGCCTGGCGGAACAACAGGGTCTTCAGTGCACAGCGAAATACCCGGAGGTTGGAGATCTTACATATTTCCGGGGGCAGTTCATTCCACAGGGCTGGGGCTCCCTCAGAGAAGGCCCTCCCCCTGGGTGTCGCCAGCCGACATAACTTGGCCGATGGCACCCTGAGGAGACCCTCTCTGTGGGAGCGAACTGGCCGGTGGGAGGCTATTGGTGGCAGAAGTCGGTCTCGAAGGTACCCGGGTCCTATGCCATGGAGCGCTTTAAAGGTGGTGACCTGGTGAAGAGGAAGAGGTTTTTAGAATATCCATATTTTTTCCTGTATTTTTATTTAAGGGTGTCTAAGCAAAGTTTAAAGGCAGGAAGATAGTCTGGGAGACACCAAGGAATGTGTTTGCAGTGGCATGGATGCAAACAAAATTCTAAACGCGAGGAGAAAAGTTTCTGACATCCAAAAGCATTAACACATTGATTTGTTGTTGTTGTTTTTAATATGTTATATTAGACATTCAAATGGGGGAGAGAAAGAGAGAGGTCCATTCATTCTTTGAGACAGTTACATACTACTTTCAGTTTGGGGCTGACCTCAACCGCATCTTGAGTCTTGATAAATCTTCAGATTATCATATATAAACAGCTCTGGCTCTTTTTTGTCAAAATCCTTTGAGGGTTTTCTGATAAGATGCTGTCAGTTCCTGCCAATAACTACAAGCCAGCATTTCAGTGAACCTCTCTGTGTTTAGAATGCACAGAAAAGTTGAGGACTTCTCTTTTCTATTCAGGGGCCAACAAAGAGAATGTATGGTTGGATGATATGCTGTGGTTGCCCAAAGGCATCTAATTTTAGGGAAATGGTTTGGTCAAACATGGTCAATGTGAATCTTTTAGAACTGGGGACAAGGTGGTGCCCTGCAATTCAAGCTGATACATTGGTATTTATTGTGGGGGAGTCGCTGTCTATTGACTCACCCTGGTCACAGGGGTCACCATGGAAACAGCTCAGCAGGTAGTCTACCCTTTTATGGCCTTGTTTCTGATAGATTCTGACAGTTGTCAAGTTGCAGACAAACAGATTCAAGAAGTAAGATATTGCTGTGTATGATTGGAAAAGTAGCTAAGGGCAGAACAATACAAAATTACATGAGGTGGCACATTGACATTCTCATTTTTATCTTAAAGCAGTAGTGCTATATGAATAAGATTTAACGTCCCTCCCATATGGCATTTCATATATTCCTCTTGTAGGGCAGTGCTACCATCATTCTGGTCCCACTCAGAGACAGTATTATTGTCATAGTGATAGCACAATAGATATGAGTTTGGCCTTTAAGAGAAAAAAGTATATAGGTCCTTTTTTTCTCAACCTGATGGGCCATGCTAGAGGAGGATTTGAGATATATATATATATTTTAATTTGATTTATATGCTGCCCTTCTCCGGAGACTCAGGGCGGCTTACAATGTGCTAAGCAATAGCCTTCATCCTTTTGTATATTTATACAAAGTCAGCTTATTGCCCCCACAACTGGGTCCTCAATTTACCTATCTTAGAAAGGATGGAAGGCTGAGTCAACCGTGGGCCTGGCGAGATTCGAACCTGCAGTAATTGCAGGCAGCTGGTCTTAATAACAGGGTGCTTTAGACCACTATACTACCAAGGCTCTGAGATATATAGATCTAAGGCCATTTGATGCCTTTAAATTGGGAATGATTGGCTTAGATTTAATTTAAATGGGATATCTTAGTCAGTGTAATGCACTTTTCCTGTCGATTGCCCTTAGTAACTTCTGTAAAATTCTATTTAGATTTTGTCTTGCAGAAGACCTTACAGTTTCTAAAATATATTTACTACATTGGTTTTGGCTTTAAATAACTTTGACCTATGTTTTCTGTTTTTCAAATTCTTTGTGGAATAGCTATCTTCCTAAATTCTTATTCTTGCACAATTTAGATCTTTGGATTGGACGTGTAAGACTGGGCTGGCTGACCCTCTCCTTTATGCTTCCATCCCCAATGCCTTTTTTTCAGAAATCTATTACAATTTTTTTCTGTATTATGTGAGGAAAACATCTTCCTTATTGCTTACCATCAATATACAGTTGGTTATGAGTATATAAGGAACAAAATGCTAGGATATTAATTTCTCTTCATTGTAATTTTGTCATTGGAAGTGCTATGATAGTTATAAGGCTTAGACTCAAAATTATCTTCAGAGATAATACAAGGGCTTAAAATACAAGGGCTTACTAAACAAACAAACAAACAAAATGCCTGTGAGCACAGCCCGCTTTTCCATAGCAAAGAATGCTTTTTGCTCTGAGGCTTTATTTAAAATGAACCGTATTCTTTTTCCATTCAGAATAACCTAAGGTTATTCTTCTATCGTTCAATGATAAATTAATGAATTCATGGAATAAAACTAATAACTAATTGCATATTTAATCGGGTATCAATTGTAAAAGAAATTATTCTAATTATTCTAATCTGTTGGTACCACAATAAATGTGAAGTGAGTCTGATTAACTTCTAAGAAGCACTGATATTCTTAGTCCAGTAAAACATGTAGCCTTTAATAAAAATCGGAAATGTTCTAGTTTCAGGCTTGGCAGGATGACAGAGTAGTGCAGCCAACTCTTCCAATAATGGTAATTCATGATATTCGTGTTAGCCTGTATGTTGTACTGCAGTGAAGCAGACAAACAGACACACACACACACACACACACACACACACACACACACACACACATTTAAAACGGGGCCCTTTGGATGCCTTTGGAGTATGCTGATCTGAATAGATCCATTTTTCAAAGCAATCAGCTTTCCCTACGGAGGCAAATAGAGGGCATTTCCTCTTTGCTTGGTTAAGAGCACCTCTTGAAAGTGTAGACTGGGCTTTTCTTTTGCTTTCTGGGCAAGGAGAGGACAGAGCCTTAAACACACTTTGCATTGTTCATACCCTTTCATAAGATTTGATATTCTAATAGGATAAAATCTACTTTTAAATCTACATATGTTGCCATTTGAGAGAAAAGAATTAACACAATCATTTTATATCTGTCCTTTTAAAAGAGAGAAGATGAGTGAATCCAGTGCAAAATCAAGTCAGCCCCTGTCTGCTAAACAAGACAAGGATGTTTCAGAGAAGAGAGGACGAGGTCGGCCCAGGAAGCAACCCCAGGTTTGTACAGTGTTCAGCTTCCCTCGTGTTATATTAGGGGAAGCTTTTGCAAGATGTACTATGAATCTTGCCTCTGACTGGTTATTGTTTAAAGCGACTGAGTCATAGTAAAAGGGAAATACAAAGCAGTATTACTATGGTGCAACCAAAGCTATTGATGATACATAACGAAAGTTAAACATTAGTAGGTCATTTACTTTGCATACTTAATGAAAGCAACTCCTCTGGGAATCAGGGCATCTTGCTTTATGACGCTAGCAGTAATTGTGACAGTCTAACTCCTTTGTTTCTGGAACAAACACAGTTCTGTAGAGGAGTACTGAAGCAAATTCTGAATCTTTGCCCATTTTCATAATTCACAAGTATCAAAATATTTTCCTTCCTAAACTATCTAGAAAGTACTTCAGTAGCATCCAAAAAAGTTCAGTGAATGCAGTAGCCTGGTATACTAGGAGCAATATAGCCTTAGAGTGGCTTATTTTGATCCCAGAAAGAATGCAGTTTCCCTCTAGAGATTATTTCAGCTAAAAGTGTTGTAAATTTGGGAACTCTGTAGAATTGTCTGCAACTCTGCAATATTGTCATCTGTAATATGATCAGAGCTTCAATTGAGTCCTATTAATAAGTACCATATTTTCCAGCGTATAAGATGACTTTTTAACACATGAAAATCTTCTCAAAAGTCGGGGGTCGTCTTATACGCCGGGTGTCGTTCTCCTGTAACCAGGCAGACCAGCCCGAAAGGCTCTGACGAGCCTTAAATGGCTCTGGCGATCCAAGCTCTGATGATCCCAGCTTTGCCTGCTAATCAGGCAACTCAGCTGGGATCGCCAGAGCCATGTAAAAGGAAAAAACTTTTTTTCTTTTACATGGCTCTGGCGATCCAAGCTCTGATGATCCCAGCTGAGTTGCCTGCTAATCAGGCAATGCAGCTGGGATTGCCAGAGCCATGTAAAAGGAAAAAAGTTTTCCCCCTCCAGCTTGCTTACCTTAGCTGCTAGTCGCAAAGCTTGCCTTGCTTCGCTTGCCTCAATCTATTCCATCAGCAAGCCACTCCCTGCCTGCAATCAAGCAGGCAGGGAGTTGTGGACTTCAACTCCCAGAATTCCTCAGCCAGCAAAACAAAGGTGGCTAAGGAATTCTGGGAGTTGAAGTCTACAAGTCTTAAAGTTGCCAAGGTTGGAGACCCTGTTCTATTGGGTAAATTTTTTTCCCCTTTGGGATCTTTAAAAAAAATAGTTAATTGGGGTTTTTTTTAGTTGTTCTTTTTTAGACCTAGCCATTTAAAGTTTAGGAAGTTTTATATTTAGCTTTCATATAAAAATAAAATAAAATAAAATAATATTTGTACAGCTTTCTGAGATTTAGTGTGTTTCTGTAGTGTTTCATTCTAACTACACAAACACACAAAATCTCACAAAGCTGTATGTGGAATTTTGTGTGTGTAAAGTGTGAAAGTTGTTTTGGGGGGCTGTGGCTGTGTGAGGTTCCTGCTTCTTGTAGGGGCCATTTTGGGTCTAGCACAGCTGCTTTTACGTTGTGGGCGAGCCAGTTGTGTTGTGTGTGTATAAAGTGTGAAAGTTGTTTTTTTGGACTTTTTGTGGCTATGTGAGGTTCCTGCTTGTTGCAGGGGCCATTTTGGGTCTAGCACAGCTGCTTTTACATTGTGGGTGAGCCAGTTGATGTTTTTTAATTTTTATTTGGTGTGCGTTGAAAGAGAGGTAGTCTTATATGGCAAGTATAGCCCAAACCCTATATTTTAACAGGAAAAGTCGGGGGTCGTCTTATTCGCCCAGTCATCTTATACGCTGGAAAATACAGTAGAGGTTCTAAAGCAGTTAATATAGCAATTAATACAGTATATTGTGTCATTGAACACATTGAGCAAACATTATTGGGTTTCTAAAGAGTTTACATATTTTGTCTCACTACTATTGATCTTCAAAGGACTTGAATCACATTATCCTTTATAATATGATCCAACAGAAGATTTTGATAGGGAATCACTTCACAATTACTGGAACTTCACTCTCTATCCTGATCTCTTTGCTCTGAGTTTCCTCTTGAGTTTTCCTTTACAGTGAAAACTCATTTCAATGAACTAATTACGGGAAGAACATATCTGTTTTTGAAGGAAGTACATTCAGTTGGAAAGTAGGGTATCATGGACATTTATGTTATTTACATTTTGTCATTACGCAGATGTCATCATTTACATCACTTATGTAATGACATAATTTTTAAAAAACATAAATCCATCGCATTGTGGTTTATAGCAGTAGCACTTAGACTTAGGTTTAAGAAAATGAGGCTTCTCTGCCTTACAGTAGTTCTATTGTTCATATGTTTAATGTCTATAAGCAACTAAGAAACCATATTCCATACATCCTGTTGTACAAATGTGTTGGCCATGATCCTTTCTTATACTTCAAAGTATATTTGTCTTTAGTGATATAGGCTCACTAAATAAGAGAGAAAATGCAGCTGTGCATTTGCAGTAACATTCTCACTATAGTACATTTGAAAAACTGGTTTTCAGTAGGTTTTCCAATAGTACACTATTAATAGTTGAGTCAGTTAACACTTCTTTCCATGTGTATAACTTAAAAGCATATAATCTGGGTAAATATAGGCCTGGATTCTAGACATAACTATTTAACCAAGATACTGAAGTATAATTTTGATTTTGGATGACAGCTTCATGGTATATTTTCTATTTTACCAGAAGCAAATATATGTGCCATTATTTTTCATCCTTTCTATCTAAACTGGAATGATCTTTGAACCACAAGTCCACCTCCCAATGTTATGGAGCAGGGGTGTCAAAATGGTGGCCTGTGGGCCGACTGCATCACACACAGGCCACACCCAAACCAGCTCCACAAAGGGAAAAATAGTTTTGATACATCATGTGATGGTAATGTGACACCGCGAGTTTGACACCCATGTTATGAAGCATCACATGAGGCTCTCTAGTGACAGTAATGTCATTGAACAAGACTAGCTAATTTGAAGGAGCTCTTTCTAGCATTTTAGGGACTTAAGGGTAAAACTAAAACTGGGAAGCCTTTCTTGCAAACTGTTTTCATTCCCATCCTTAAACCCACCAACCCAAATAAAAATGGTTCAAACTTGAACAAGCAAAATTTGGTAATTTTTCTGCTGGTTTTTGTTACATTTGGTCAAAATGCTAAGGAGCTGCAAATGGGAGGCTGGGCTGTGGATTTATAGTCACTGATCAAAGTCTTGGGAACCCTGATCCTTTCTACGTGTATAAAATTACTCTTACTTCTACATGAAAGAGATCAAGATCAGACCAATCTAGGGTTTTTTGCTGATGTGAAGTATCAACTGACATCACCTCCTCTTCCATCTACCTGAAGTAGTACAGTGTGATAATCTTTTTGGAGAAAGGCTAATGGTGTTAGATCATTGGCTTCTACATACTACTAAAATGTTTGTGTCTGTAATCTAACTGGTTGAAACGGTGCATTATAGGGTAAAATTTCAGTCAAGAGTCAAGTTGACTAATTTGCAAAATGCTGGGACCCATTTCTCCTGAGGCAATGAAATTTGGGGAAGTTGTGGGTTCTTCAATACTGCTGCTTCAGTGTTGTCACAGTCACGGTTATGTGATCCTCATTTTCAACAAGTCTATAGGAGCACACCACGCTCCCTTGTTCCATCCTCCACCCAGCCTGGTGGAGAAGGGAAGGGAAAGGAAAGGAAAGGAAAGGAAAAAAAAGGAAAGGAAAGGAAAGGAAAGGAAAGGAAAGGAAAGGAAAGGATGGAGAGAAGGAGAAAAGGAAGTGAAGAAGGAAGGAGGAAGGGAGGGAAGATAAAAGGAACAGGAAGGAAGGAAAAAAAGGAAGAAGGGAGATAGGAACAGAAAGAAAGATAAGAGGAGGGAGAGGAAAAAGAAGGAGGGAAGAAAGGTAAAGGAACCAGCAGGAAGGGAGGAAGAGAAGAGAAGAAAAGAAATGAATGGGGGAGGAAAAGAAAGAAGGAGGGAGAAAAAGAAGCAAGGTAAGAGGAATGAACAGAAGGAAAGGAATAGGAAAGCGGGAGGGAGAGAGTAATGAAAGAATAGGGAGTAAGGAAGATTGTCAAGGTTCACTGGCAGCTTCCCATAAAGAAACCCAGTGGCGAAGCCAGCACCAAGCCAGAAGTCGCTCCCACTCCCACTTTTTTGCCCACCTGTCATCATTCTGTTTCTGTGTTTGAGTAAGGAAATATCTGTGAAATGATGATCTAATGGGTCACGGGGTCGTCTAGTTTACAGCTATAAGTGGAATGTTACAGGAAATGTGAAACACTGGCTACAGTATATAACACTTGAACAGTGTCCATTATATGATAAAATGCGTATAAGGAAAATATGTATATTGTACTACTAAACATATGTCATGGTGTTACATCTTTGAAACTTGTATTTTAATCACTATAGTCTGTATTATGAACCTCTATCAGAAATTAATGTGTCTGCATATCAAATTTTTAAATTGGCTGTATTGGTGGTATTCTTTTATTTCTTTCATTGTAGCTTCTGGGTACAGAGCAAAATGCCCTGAGAGAATGTGCAAGCATTAACTACATTTATTTCTCTGTCATTCATTGTAATACTCTTTGTTTATAGCAAGAACCCAGTGAGGCACCAATACCCAAGAGACCACGTGGTAGACCAAAGGGGAGCAAAAACAAGGCCACTTCAAAGGGAAGGGTAGGTATTCTGGCTGCTGGATAATGAATTGGAAATCCTAGTCAATCACGTAAACTCTTTCCTGTTGTTTTTATGCACATGTACCAATTGACAGTGATTGTTAAGACTGATCCGGAGATTGCTTCAACAGAAATAGCCATCCATGGAAGAATATCTGCAGTAAAGAACTGTAATAGCATGGGGGCTGCAGCCAGGTCAATGGTTGGTTAAGAGACAGCTTAGTCTCACAACAAAAATGTAGGTGTAACAAACTTCTCAGAAGTGATCCTTCCTAGTTTTTTAGGCTGTGAAGCAGGGGTGAAATGCTCCCGGTTCGGACCAGCTCACCCGATCTGGTAGCGATGGCGGCAGGTGGTTCGGAGAACCGGTAGCAAAAATCCCTGCGCCCTCCACCCCTTCCCCCCCCACCACCATGCCCAGCTGAGCCGCACGATCATCAGAGGCTTTTTTTTTTTTACTTTTAAAAGCATTTTTTCTACAACTTCTGCCGAAAAAATGCTTTTAAAAGTAAAAAAAAAGCCTCTGATGATTGCACGGCTCAGCTGGGATCGTCAGAGGCTTTTCAAAAGCATTTTTTTCTGCAACCTCTTCCGGAGAAGAGATGGTTTAAAAAATGCTTTAAAAAGGCTGTGACGATCCCAGCTGTGTTGCCTGATCGGCAGAGCCTTTTCAAAGCATTTTTTTGCACTTGCCGAAAAAATGCTTTGAAAAGTTAAAAAAAAAAAAAAAAGTTGGCCACGCCCACTCAGTCACATTGCCCACCAGCACCAAGCCGCGCCCATAGAACCTGTAGTAATAAATTTTACATTTCACCCCTGCTGTGAAGGCAATGGGGGGATGTACTTTCAGACTAGCAAGATTAAAATCAGCCTTGCAAAGTAATCCAAACAGGAATAAAAGAATTGGAAGAGACCTTGGAGGTCTTCTAGTCCAACCCCTGGTTCAAATTGAAAACCCTATAGCATGTCAGACAAATGGTTGTCCAATCTCTTCTTTAAAACTTCCATCAACACATCCAAAAATATTTGGTCTGCCATTTGTAAGTTACATCAACAGAATCTTGCAAGTATGAAAGTACATTCTCCCCTGTCACCTTTACAGCCCAAAAATCTAGGGAGAATCGCTTCTGAGAATTTTGCTATACTCAAATGTTCTTCTGCTGGCTAAGATGCCTTTATCCAACTGCAGCTTTTTCCTCTCTCCCAAGGTCATTTCTACATATCATTATAAGAGATGAGTTTTGACTCTATAAAGTTATACCTTTTCTCTTATTTGTTTCTCAAATGGACTATTGTATCTTCCATTTTGTTTTGTTTTTCTTTTAAATATAACATTTTCCAATTCTTTATCTGTTTATGCATATCAGTTTGATATTTTTGAAGATTCTAGGATAAAACTGGATAGCACAAGAAGAATATAAGAATTCTAGGTCTGGTTTTTCCATCTGGTAATAAAATAGGACCTATGGGTCCTATTCTCCTAATATTGTCTAGTCTAGTCTCCTAGTATTTGGAAAAAATTTTGAAAGGTAGAATTTGTAAATATGGATGGGAAGGAGCACCCTCCTATTGATATTGAATTCTGCCTTATATATGTTTTCCTCATCAATTTTACTAGTATCCTGTGAAATATTCAGAAGTCAGATACACCATTTTCTGAAATAAGATCTGCTTTAAACCTATATGAATACATATGTTAAGAAACAACAGTATTGAGGATCTCCAAATTTCCTCATCGCTCTTGTTAACCGTTAACTGAGAATGATCCAATAGCATGAGAAATCTGCGAAAAAAGCAGTTGTCTCAATGCTACATCAATCTGGTAATCCTCACTTAACAACAATAGTTGAGGCCAGAATTTGGTTGTTGAGCAAAGTGGTTATTAAGCAAGATGCCCACATGACTACTTTGAACAACAATTGCATTACTGTTGGTGGCCATCAAACAAGACCCCTGAGTCATGGAGCAGACAGGAAAAAAGAGTTGCCTGCTGAAGTTTGAACAGTCACTGAACAAATGATTATTGAATGAGGACCTCCTGAATAACCATCAAAGATGCAGTGCTAGACCACTCTCATCCATGGAAGTTTACTGAATGACTTGTCATGCATTCTCAGTCCATCATATCTCACAGGATTGTTATTGGGGAAAAAAATAAGAAGAAGCATTATGTGTGTCCTTTGAGCTCCTGGAGGAAAAGCAAAATATAAATCTACAGCTGTCACTGAAAAAAAAAATTGGGTAGGCTTATTAAGTGTTGAACTAGAAGATAATAGAAAAAGTGATTTTTAGATTACAAGGAAGCAGATTTAATGCAGATATCACAAAAAGTTTCTTAATGGTAAGAACATAAACAGAGGGATGCCATAGTAGTGGATTCCTGCATTAAGCAAGGGCTTCACTAAGTGATCTTTATAATCTGTATAACATGTTTTATGATTGTATGAATATTGAAAAACTATTTCAAAAGTAAAGCTATGCTTGTAAATATGCATATGTTTATTTATTTGCTTATGGGGAAAGAAGAACAAATAATGGATGTCTATTGACATCCAAATCTAGGATTTTGAGTAAAAGATACTTGAATTAGCTGGACAGCTGGTGACATTTGCTTGTGAGTGTATGTGTGTGCGCAAGTCTGTCTCCGAGCAGCTGGAGTTTGTAAATCTGTAAAGAATAGAAAGGGATATGTTCCACTCACTCACACAGAAGGAAGATTATAGTTCACTGGATTGGGTAGCTTCTCTCTCTCCCATCCCTCTGAATATGGAGGCCTCTTAGCTTCCTCTGTTCTTAACTGCCAATCCTTAATGGCACATTGACTGTGCCATTCACATGCTGGTGAGGAATGAAGGCTTGATGTATCTATCAGGTGCTGCATGGCTGAAACTGAATGAAGGTTGGGAATAAAGCAAGGAAATGAATAAATGATCCCAGAGCTGATGACTTGGCAGCTGTTTACATATGCAGTATGTAATCAGAAATACTAGGCCCGAGCCATATAGGGCATGGTCTTTCTTCACCCGCTCTCTCTCCAAGTCTTTCAACTAGATACCAAAAAGAATCTTCATTGTTCCAGATGCTTTGGAGCAACAGATGCTTGATCCTGATTTGGCAGCCAAGCTGCCAAGGTTATTTCAGTGGACACCTCAGCTTAGCCCAAGCCTCTCACCATCTGTTCAAATTATAAAATGTAGTAAGAAAAGAACATGTACCAAGTTCTGGAGACATTTGCTTCTGTTTGTTATGCATCTGGCTCCCTGCAGCTATTGTGTTTTATTTTTCAAGAGTAAGAGCAAGACCTTATTAAAAAGGTGCTTCCAGTTCCTACCAATAAATGAATTACAAATGTTCTGTTCTTAGTTCTGAAGTGACCATACAGAGCCTATTCTGTAATTTGGAGAAAACATTAGATATAATCACATACAACAACAGTGTACAACAACTCAGCATCATGTGGGAATATTTTTTAGCCTTTGCTAATGGGCAACCTCCTCCTAGCAGTCAGCTCTTTAACACTTGCTGTTACTATACAGACCAAGTATGATCCTGGGGCCTTTTGAATCCAAAATAGCCATTACAGAGGTTAAGGCAAATTTACACTAACCATGCTCTGCAGTAAATACAGGTTATTGTGATGACCAAGCTTTTGCTCTTGGTCTGACAGTTTCTCCTATAGCTGCCTCTGTATAGTTAAATGGGATTGCAACGAGGTGCCATGGAAATAATGGATCTACTTCCCAAAGCACTTTTCTACTTCAGTATCCAAGTGATCCTGCTAGTTCCTCATCTGATGTTGGAAACTGTTTCAAACGAGATGTTTGGCATGTGAGATAATTTGACACTTGAATAACTTTCTGCTTTGAACTACACATCCAGAGTTTGCCTTACTGCAATTAAAGCAGAAAAATGGGACTGGGCTGTATACAGGGTAAGAATGTTTTGGGATGCTGTAACTAAAAGCAAAGACGTGGCAGATTACTAACTATCTAAAAGGCCAGTCAGATGATGGTAAGAGGGCAGATGTTGGTCCTCTTCCTGACCCCTGCCTAGCATATAAAAATGCTAGGGAAGAATTTTAGTACCGTGTTTCCCCAAAAATAAGACCCTCTCTTATATTTTTTTGAACCCTGAAATAAGCTTTTTTTTTTTTAATTTGATTTATATGCCGCCCTTCTCCAGAGACTCAAGGCGGCTTACAATGCATTAAGCAATAGCCTTCATACTTTTGTATATTTATACAAAGTCAGCTTATTGCCCCCACAAACTGGGTCCTCATTTAACCTACCTTAGAAAGGATGGAAGGCTGAGTCAACCTTGAGCCTGGTAAGATTCAAACCTGCAGTAATTTCAGGCAGCTGTGTTAATAACAGGGTGCATTAAACCACTGTACTACCAAGGCTCATAATACTAACAAGGCTTGGCCTTATTGCCATGTGCTCAAAAGCCTGATTGGGCTTATTATCAGGGGATGTCTTATTTTGGGGGAAACAGGGTAGGAAAAAGATTTGTAGAAGGTTTCATGAACACTCTGTATTTGTATTTGGTTTGAAACCTCTTGAAAATACACGACTCATATCCTGCATACTCTGAGTCATGGTACTAGAACCCAGATGGCTCCTGTTGAATGTGGCAGTGATGGTGAAGAATAACAAGGGAGGGATTAGTGGCTCTGATGCCAAAAGACAAAACCAAGGCCAACTGAAAAAGGTTTTTGCCAACCCAAGTATTCAAGTGTATGAGTCACATCCTCAGATTATAAGGTTAATTTAGAATTTTTGAGATCATCTTGGGTATTTGGGTACCCACATTTCAGGTTTTGTTTATTTAGTTTAGCAGCTGTAGAAATTAAATTATTATGTGTGTTCAGATGAAGAAAAAACATTTCACATCATAGTTAGGAACTATCTTGAGCAACACTATTCTGTTTCACTTTCATTATTGGCTGCTTTGTGTTAATGGCAAGTTGTTTCTAATATAATCAAAAGCAGAAATATTTTAAGGATTGTTTTCCAGTTTATTTGTAGCATTAGAGTGCCTTTACATAAGTAACTTTGATTTCATACATTGAATATGTTTTTTGTAATGTGCATCCAGATAATCAAGAATAACATACAGGAATGCTGATATTTTCATAACATCTATTAAGTCATTCTTTGTTCATTATAAATTGTAGTTTATTAGCTAATACAGTAAAATATGTTTGATGTTGAATTAGACGGTAGTTCTTGAGGTTTGCTAGTGTAATTTCCAAAGTTGAACATCTCACTTTGTAAGGGGAAAAACGCAAAATGGAGTGCCTGAACTCAAGCAGAAATACAGATTGCTTGCTTTGATCTACTATAGCCTTCCCCAACCAGTATCTTCCAGATATATGTTATCTATTTATTTATTTAAAGTCTTATATTGCTTAATAGCCGAAGGTCTAGTATTTATATAGTATAGTACCATATATAAAATTGTACCAAATGGTCACCGGTTCTATAATTTTGTCCTGGTATTCTCACACACCCAAATTGTGGTAATGGAGTTCATCCTACACATCTGGAAAATGCTAAGTTGAGACAGTCTATTTTAAAATGAATGGTTTCCTTTAAAATGTATTATTTTAAAAGAAATGTTGACTGCTACTGGTATTGGTTTTCAGGGACTCCTGAACAAAAGTACCCCAATATCACAACAACCATTTATTTAATAAAGGAATACAAACCAGTCTTAAAACCAATCTGAGTTTCTTGTGGATGGCAATAGCTTGTAATTTTGGTCTTCATTTAAAGATCATCTTTATGCCTTCCTTCTCCAGAAAGCTGCTGTAACAACACCTGGAAGGAAGCCTCGAGGTCGACCGAAAAAAACAGTAAGTTGATTTTGAAAAGAGGTATCTATATAAAGGGGGGAGGAAGAGGTTATTTTAGTCTCTTATCCTCTTGAATCTCAATCTGTTTGCAACCAGTGGGTTACACTGAATGGGGGAAATTATTGGATTAAGAGAGATGAATATGGTGAATGTAATTAATTTTGTCATATTCAGGTTTATGTATTGTTTATAAAGCTGTTGTTCACAAATCTGGAATTTTGCTAATGGAATTTTCTGACCCAAGCCTTTTATAAACTGTGTCTTAGCTTTTCCACTAGTAAAATGTAATATAACCATAGATTTTTTTTCACCATTACTAGGCAGAAAAGATGTAACACTTTTTGGCCTACTCTGGTAGGGCTTGCACCTGGTGATAGAGATGGTGCATGTAGGAATAGGGACCAGGTCTGAAGAACAAATCGGTGGTATCATTCCCTAACACCAACTTTTAGTACCAACATCTCAGAATATGAGTTGACAGTGTTTTTGACTCTTCTCCAATAGCCACTTTACCAAGATGTTCAACAGGAGGCAGGTTTACCATATCAGGTAAAAAATGCTATGATATAAAGACAGATAAGAGGTCTGAAACATTTTGTTGGTTTTATTCTAATTTTTGAATCTTTTTATAATAATATCCATTGAGATGCAATTCTCTTATGGATCTGATAAGTTTTTGAAACTGTCTTCTGGAAATGATTGATGCAGCATAAAGAAACTTAATGCTTCTTTATTGGAAATTTCAAGAGTATGTTGCTTATCAAAGCTAAATCTGATTGCTTAGATTTTCTGAGGTTTATTTTTTTTATCCTATCTTTTCAACATTTTATACATGTTGTGTTTCAGTTTATAATTATTCCTTCTTGCCCTGAAGTGAGTAACAGGAAGTGGCTTGTTCTGTTAACTAGCACAGATTTGGTGTTGCCACTATGGCATTCTTGCAGAGTGAGTTTCAGTCTGTTTCATCTGCCCTTGATTGCTTAAAGCAATTGTTCTTTTTAATAATCCCTGAAGAAATTCTGGTCTACATTCAAGAATTTACCCCTCAAAATAAGGTTTTCCAGTTGATTCTAATAAAATCATGTGTTCCATCTTTAGCATTACTTTTATACACCACAAGGCAAGATTGTCTGACTTTGCTATAATTGCTGATTATTTTGTCTTTTTGATAATTATTATGTTCCATTATACCTCTTCATGCAGATAGAAGTATATCTCGCTTCTTAACATTTATCTCTATACATCTTATAATAAACGTTACAACAACACAAAAGGCTAGATGTTCTTTGGAGAAACATTTGGCAAGTCCCTTTAAATCAGTGACTCACCTAGGTTGGGATTTACCTTATAGGTGGCCATTTTAAATTTCCTATAGGGGCCCAGATAAAATTCTACATTGAAATGAGGACATCGTGTTAAATTAAAATGGGGAACCCAAATATACTTTGTATCAGATTAATTATCAAATCAGTTTGTCAAATATCACAAATTCGTGCTCAGGAATAATTGTAAATCAATCATTTCCAAAAGAATGGACATTTTTGATATTCTGTTTGGGGGGGTGGGATTCACAAAATGGCTGTCAAGGAAGAGGTTTGTCCAATCACAAAGAGCACTTCATTGCATATGGCTTGTCACAAAACAGTCATTTATCACAAGACAAACTGAGACAAAAGCTTTTTATCACACTTTTAAGCCCATAGGATGTGGTCTATCAGTTTATTATTACGTTATTTCTAGGCAGGATTTCGTGTTTCCAGGCACAGGTCTGAGCTGCAGATTCCAACTATTCTGGTTTCTCTTCAGTTCAGATACAGTATTCATATTTTTCTATTTTATTTTTGGGAATGTCCAGTTAAGCTATTCATAGAAATAAACATAATAATGGAAGCTGATAATCTGCTTTATACGATGCTTGCCATATATTTTGATGGGGATTTCCCTCCTCAATTTTAACGACATGTAGGTCAGAGAAATCCACAGGTGCATTCAGAATGACATTGCCAATACTAGCCTTCCATTCTTGAGGTCTCTGTAGGAAATTTATCTGGGACCTCATGGATGAGGTGAGTTGTGGAGAAAACATAGGCAGATATCAGTGTTACTGGGTCTTGCCCAGGAATGTTGGATGTTGGCATTACATTTGTAGCCCAGCTATAAAGAGAATAGATTCCCTTTAAAATAAGCTAAACTATATCTGCAGAAGATTCCAGGCTGGGTAGAGCCCTTGAAAGGAGCATTTATTGAAGGAGTTAGTGACATAACAGATGTTTTTGTTACAATCCCATTTATTTTTACAAACAAATTGAAAATATTCAAAACAGGTTGTGCCATTAATTTAGAATGTGGCACATGCTGCTGACTCCATATTGGTCTGAATATCAGAAGTGGCTGATGGCTTTGCAGTTCACATCTGTCACCAGCTGTCAAAGTATAAGGAGCAGTCTTTGCCAGAAACAGCTAATTGCAAGCTTTCTTAATAAGCAGACAGGCAGCCTTCCAAAATGGGGAATCAGATTTGCAATGACCACTTTAAAAATCCATTTCTTTTAAATCATGACATAGACAATTTTAAAAAATTGTAATAAATTGCATATTTTGTTCTTAATTTCTTAAAACTTGGGTGTTTGGCAATAAGAAACCTTATGTTATCTGCAGCAATTACTATTGCTAAAATGTCACACTTGCTAATTATGCTTGCCTTTCTGCTAACGTTGATATTCAGCCAGAATACACATGAGTTCAAATATACAGATTATGCTGTTATTTTTCAAGCCCCTTCCTTAGAAGCAGGGTATGTGGGAAAGGACAATAATAAAGTATTCTTTGAAGATCACTGCAGCAGGGCAATTCATGAAAATTAAAATAGTAAACCAAAGAATATGGTCATTTCCTCTAACGCTGACATTGGGTTACTTCCAAGAACGGTTAACTAATTTAGGCTTTAATCTGCTCTGCCTCTATCTGTAATATCACCTGGATGTATTAAATGTCACTGAAATAATATTTCCATTTAAATTGCCAATTTTCAAATGTTTCGTGATCCATTCCACTCGTCGTCTTTTGAGCTTGTTAAATCTTTTTCCGACTTGAGTGGAACTGAAGCCTTTACTGTGTGTCTTCTTTTAGCAAAGAGAGGTTAAGTAGAGTTGATTATTTCCTTCCTTTGCTAAATGATCTCTCTTGTCCTACAACTTGCTGAACAGACTTGGCAGGCACATTCCACAGTGGTTTAAATGTGTGTTTTTATGAATGAAACGCAAGGAAGTCAAGGTTGCTGAGTCACACATGCACTCAAGCATGACTCATCTCATTCCAATAGCATTTGTTTTATTTTTAAAAGAGCAGGCCAGAGAGACCTCCAGGAAGAAATGTTTCCCCTCATATACAAACAGTTGTTTATTTAGGCCTAGAAGAGTGTGGATATTAGGAATTTACTTGCTGGGTAGGATAAACTTTTAAGGAGACCGCAGAGGGAGCTTAAACATTGGACCCATTTTTTGTTTCGTTTTTAATGCGGCTCTGTCCCTCTTGTGGCAGCTTGAATATATGACAGCTCAAAAGTCCAAGATGAATTCTGTGTTTGAAGCAGTTCCCTTTGTTAGGTGTTTGAAGGGAACATTATTTTATGCCGACCTCCTAGCCATATGCTCATTAGGTTTGTTTCATTAGTTCCATTGTGTGTTAAGCTGGTTAGGTCTTTCTTGAATAACTTTTGTCCAGTTCTAAGCCCTGCACTTAGGCAGAGACACAAAAAAGCTAGAGTAGTTTCAGAAAAGACCTATCAGAATAAAAGAGTCTGAAAACAAGCTCTATGAGGAAAGGCATACAGGTAATCCTCAACTTATCACACAATTGAGCCCAAAATTTACATTGCCAAGCAAGATAGTTGTTAAATTAGTTTTTGCTCCATTTTACCACTTTTTTTGCCACCGTTGTTAAATGAACCTGCAGTTAAGTTGTTGTTGTTGCTATATGAATCTGGCTTCTCCATTGTTTTTGTTTGTCAAAAGGTTATTACATGACCCTGGGACACTGCAAGTGTCATAAATCTATGCCAGTTGTTATGAATTTGATCATATGATCGTGGGGCTTCTGCAACAGTTGTAAGTGTGAAACAGTCATAAGTAACTTTTCACTTCGAACAGTCACTAAATGAATGGCTGTAAGTTGAGGACTACCATACTTCAGAACTCATATATCAAACACCTACTTCAGATATCCTAGTAAAATGAGAATCAGTGGGTTGAAATTAAATGAAAGGATATTCACTCTGAACATTAGGAGGAATTTCCAAAGGGAACAAATTATATGCAGTCGAACTGTTTGTCTAGAACAGTGATGTTCTCCCCCTTGCTGGAGGTTTTCAAATGTAGACTGGATGGTCACTTAAGATAGTTTAGGGAAATCCGGCACTGAATAAAGGGTTAAACTTAATGATCTTTAAGATGACTTCAGAGTCCTACATTCTGTGAAATTGAATGGTTTCAGTGTATGATCCCAATCAGTTACAAAATAAATTGCCTGTGTTCTGGAGTACAGCTTTCCTCGACTTAACAACTGGTCATTTAACAATCATTCAAAGTTATAGCAAACTCTTAAAAAGCTCATTATGACCCATCCTCAGAATTAAAATTGCATGTCCCTCCAGGCACATGATAGCATTTTGGATGCATAGCGATTTGCTCACATTTCCAATCAGTTGCAGTGTCCCATGGTCAGGTGACCACAGATGCAATATGTTTTGCCAGTTTTGAGCAAAAAAACACCCATTTGGAAGAATGGATTTGTTTAATGACCACATGATTCATTTAACAATGTGGTTCGCTTAATCACATTGTTTTATGCCACCATGCTTTAAGACTGAAGTTGAAATGGTCATCAAATTGATTCCAGTCATGTGATGCCTTGACTTACAACTGCAACAACTTACAATTGAAATTCTAGGCTCCATTGTGACCGTAAATCAAGGATTACCTGTAATAGGAATACACTTCAAAAGCAAACACTCTAGAACTTGGATGTTTCTCATTTTGTAAGTGCTTCGATGATGACATTATACAACAAATGAATGCTAACAAAGGAATAGGTTTTTGCTACGGCATACTGGTCTGCATTACAACGGGAAGAGCAAAGCCATTCCTTGAAGTTGTTCTTTTGATTTCCACCCTCTATAAGGAAGGAGGATCAGTTGCCTCTGTGCAGCAATGAGGAATGGTGTTCCTCACTCCTACTACAGTATAAGGATTAGTCTTAAAACAAGAACAATATAGCAGCAGATCTTGCCAATGCTATTTTCTTCCTGTGTAGGAGAAAGATGAAGAAGAGGTCAACATCTCCCAAGAATCTTCAGAAGAGGAACAATGAGAATAGCCAACTGATTCTACCTCACAGCTCAGTTTTCCTATTTCTTGTCAAGTTTTGGGACTGAGGAAAGAGCGAAGAATCCTCACCCTTTTCCTGACCTGATCTCTCCAACGTTCACACAGTCAAAACAGCAACACTAGGGTACAGTGTAAAACAGATCAACCATCATATTTGATGTGTAATGTTTAATGGGAGAACTTTATATTTTGTTTTCCCCTCTCATTTGACAGGGTTAAGAGTTTAGCCTACCAATTCATGTAGTTCTGTATTATATCTGTTTTTTGATCTATTTCTCCAGAACACTCCTTATCGAGAAAGGGGTTTATAAATCTTTATAGTGACCACTTACTTATTCATGTTGAAAAGAGTGGACAGCCTAGTTCTTCCTTATCAATCCTAATTTCCACTTCAGAGAGACCATAATACTCTCCAAAAGGATAACTTGGCACTGGCAGAAAGTTTGCCAAGGAGGATGATTTGAGAGCATTGGGATGATTTTATTTTTTTCTGGGAAATGAGTATAATGGGATAAAGGCCACAACATTAAAAGGATGGATACATTATTTTTTCCTACTGTAAGGTATTTGCAAGAATAATTGAGAGGAAGTTATTCTGCCCTTTTTGCCCAATTTCCAGTAGTTCAAGAATAATCTAGTGCTTTGCAATGGTCTGTGTATTCTTGTTGACAACATGCTGCCCTGCCCCAATCAGCTGCCTTAAGGCCAGAGCAGTTACAAATGCATAGGCTAAGGTGTTTGGGGTGAATCTGACCTAAATTCTCATCTTTTCCCCAATAACCAGAGATCCTTTTCTCTCCCCCCCCCTTTTCCCCCATTTTTCCATCTCAATCTGTCCCCAGCTGCCAGTGCACAAATGGAGCTTACAACTGAAATGTTTTTCACTTGGTGCTCAGTCATTCTGCACAGAAATTATATTGAACAAGACTTTGCCATGACCAAGGAAAGCAGGATGGCAAAATTCTCTCCCTTTGTGGTCTCTCTTTGGGTTTTTGTGATTTTTCTCCTTTGGAAATAGCACAGTTAGCAGTTGACAGTTGTTTTTGCAATATATATTGTCTGTCAAGGTTTTCCTTCTTCATTCACAACTACCTCTGGATACGTTTTGAGTTTCATTCTCTTAAAACATAGATTGCTGCTGTTTGTTGCTGCTGTACTGATTACAAAGTTTTATTTCAACAGGTTCTGTCTGGTTTTTCTCTGGAACTGACATGTTACACTATAGATAATTTCATTTCAGTTGACTTTTAAAACTATTGTGCTATTAAAAAGGGATAAAAGCTCTTATTTGTCAGACTGATGAATGATTGGGGAGAGGGAGGTTCTGTGAAAGTGGGCACTATTTTAAGAGTCAGCTATAAATACTAAGCTCTACTGTGGAAACCCCAAATGATGAATAATTTCTGAAAGTATAAATATGATTTTCTTTATGCTTTTTTAAAAAACATACCCATGTTTCTATTGGGCATTTTTTTTAAAGCTGTATATTAGCTATACTAAGAATTTTGAGACCTCATGGTAAGTACTCCCTAGTTACAATTTAGCAGAAAGCAAAATGGTCAGAATGCTTCTCACCAACTCCTTTTATACCATTTTAGCTTAGATGTTCTCTCTTCTCTGAAAAGTGAAAACTTCCAAATCAAATGCTGATATGGGATCAACAAACATTTATAGAAATATTTCTGAATTTTTTAAAATGTGAGGTGCTTGCAGAAGGCATCAAAGGAGACATTTACATACACACTGTGCTCATGGAAACTATATAGCCTACCCTTCTGCCCACTCACATTCTTCTTCTGCATCTGTATGGATTTCATAAAACACACTCTTAAAAGGGAACAAAACTGAGCTGGTTCATTGAATATCCAATATATTATGTAGAAGGTAATTGTTTTTCATTCAGTAAAAGACACAAACATTTTTAAGTAATGATTGCAATAATTCCTGAACTGGTCACTAAATTAAAATCATCAGTCAGTCTTCAGCAACTGCCCAACGGATTGACATCTGTTCATCTTCCAAGATCATTACCACTTTGTGGTATACTCTGTGGTAAAAATATTGTATATTTTTACAAATATAGAATAATGATCCCTCTTGTTTTGAAACACTCAACTTTCTAGCCTGGATAGCAAAATTTGCACAATGCCTGAATAAATTAGTTTCTAATTTAAGGGTTATTTTTGGCAGTGATTAATAACACCATAGGAATCTGTATTAATATTGATCCATCTAACCCAATATTGCCAAAGGATGACTGGAAATAAGATTTCAGCCCATTTTTCCTGCATCATTTGGATATGCCAAACACTGAAACTGGGATTTTTTTGGTATGCATTGCATGTCATATACTCAGAGGCAAAAGGATTTAACTTTGTTTGCCTGCAAATAAAACAAACCTTGTTTATTAAAATAGGCACATTTTTTTAGGCTTTATCAGGACAATAGCAGAGAAGAATATGAACTTTTCCTTCTCAAAGGATTAGAAGAAATGTCCTTTCCTTAACATTGCTTGATAATTTTAATTATCAATAGCATAGCTCTTTAAAAGTGATCTATGACTTTAATTTGCAATGCAAAAGAATAGTATGATCAGTAGCTTATAGTATATAGATTTATTACTAAAGATTGTGGTTTACTTGAATAAAACAAGTGATGTTTTAAACTTCCTTTCATAGCAGTAGGCCAAAAAAAAATTAAACATGAACTCATAGGGACCTCATAAGGCACAGAGGATTCTTGTCATCAAACTTGCCACATCTGCCCTTGCTCCATTTTTAATGCAGCAGGCAATATTTAACTTATAACATACTGTATGCTTAAACCTAAATGACATTTAGCATATATTTGAATGTTGTACTTTGATGGCATCTTTTTCCTCTTCACTTCATCACTTTGGGTGTCGGGGGAGATACAAAATTCTGATTCTTGCACTTATGTCGGCTTCAGTCATTATTTGATGCTATTGTGTGTATTTGATGTCTCTCCTTCTGGGTCTGCCGCTTTGGCCTTCTCTTTTTGTACATGCCTTGTATGGTACAAAATCTCAAGACATTTGGTGGTATAACTGGAATTAAAGTTCTAAATACTGAACCAAGGGCTAGTCAGTCTTGCCGTTTTCTAAATCAGTTCTCCCCCCCCCCCCCCGCCATGCTTTTGCTTCAAACATGGGAAGAAAAAAAAATCAAATTTGTTTATTCATTCCAATAGCCACAAACTGCACAAGTATTTGGGCCACAATATTTAATCAAAGAGCTTTACAATCCCTGCTTTCCACTGTGTTTAGAATTTTTAGATATATCACCAGAAAAACACCATTAAAAAAATTGAAATTGCCAAACCTGTCTGAATACCTTCAATTCCTACTGTGTGAGGAAAGTTCATTAGCATAAAGTTCATGAGTCTTGGATAGAGAAATGTAGATACTGGGAAGGCTGCATTGTATGTAAGTTTCAATAGTTGCATAGAGAAGTACAGCTGGTGCAGTTTATCATGACATGATAGTATATTAACATAGAAAAGTCTAACTTTATTAGGTCAGGTGTCATGACTTTTATATCCTAATCTGAACAGAAACAAAAAAATGATCTACATTTTAAAGAATTTAGTGGATTCATAACCCCTAATAATTGTAAGAATCATCAAATTTAAGGTACTTCTTTTAAGAGATGTAGCCTTTATTCAACAGAGACCTCTTCCCAAGAAATAGTACCTGAATCCCCAGATGTTTTTTGTTTCTGAATTCCTGTTATCAAATAATGAACCACTAGTACAGCCGATTCTAGAATTTTAATTTTTGCATTCAATGGATGTTTGTTTCCAAAAATAAAACAATTTGCCTCTCAAATGCTGCTCTGGAGGGACCTCAACTGTCTAGAACAGGCTTGCTTGAGCAAAAACATCCTGACCTGATGCTCCTGGCGCTAGCTGATATCAGCCAATTATATATCTAAATCCAACTAGTGTACTGCATTTGACTTATTTTTTTAGAAAGATCAAAACAGGAACTTTCATTTTGCCCAGCAGAAAATTAACTCCAGCCAAAGGACAAATGAAAGTAGCAATCTAACACTCAGAATGCCTCAAGCTGAAGGTTATTCTTAAATCTATTCTTCAGCTGCTATGGGGATGGAAATACATAATTAATCTGTATTTGGGAAATTTATTTCTATTTTGAGACAACAACTAGCAGTGTGGAACTAAATGCAGTACATAAAGGAAAGAACAAGCATTCAGTACATTTAGGAACCAAAATTCATGACTGGATGTAAATCATGACATTGCAGGTTTTTTGCCTGCAGACCCATAACAAAGCAAGGAGTTAATCGAGATATAAATCAAAGGCATACAGATGGGGACAAATTACAGTGCACATTACATATTGATTTCATTGGAAGATGATGCAGGAAATGGCAGAAGAATGCTTTTCTTCATGGTGGCTTCAAACCACTATTAATTCAGCCCATGTAGTTGTACCACCAGTTTATTAACCTTGTGTGTTTAGGAAGAGAAGCAATGGTCAATGTGCATTGCCATGTGCATTCAGTCTTGTCATGGAAAATTTAACTTTATTTCCAGAATCACAATCATCACATTTTTCTCATTGCATTAGGAATACATTGTCAACCTCAAAAGGCATCAGATGTATGCAATATAAGTTGCATCCCAATGTTCTTAAAATGTGTGGAAGACCCCCAACTGCTAAAAATCAGAACTTTGGGGGAGGGGGGATACATAAAGGCATTAAGACACTTTCTCAAAGTTACCAGTGCAGCTTTCTACATTAGGTGCATAATTTGTGTCCATTAGCAGAGTTCAGCAAGCAATGAGTAGCACAATTTTTTCAGCAAAGCAGCAATGACATTGCTGCACCAAGACATCAGTCCATCACAGGTATATCAATGGTAACAAGCTGTGTTCACAAAGACAGGCATATAACAGATTATAGTACTGTAAAAGCTTGATGTTTTGCAACAGGTACTCCTGGTCGGGTTCAGTTTTATTTACAAAACAGATGATTTCCCAAATACCAAATAACACTGTCTGTCCCTGTTGAGCTCAAACAGGTCACCAAAGAAAATAGTTGTCAGAAATAACGATGGTCCTTTCTGATAGACATGCTAAGCATCTATACGAACTTCTTAGCTAAACCACATCCTCCCAGCATGTAGCACACAAAACAATTCCAAAGCTGATACCGTGTACCCATTATCCCTATTTGAAGAAGTATACCATTACCCCTCAAGCACCAAGTTATGCATTTGGCAATTTTATTCACTTTGCTTGCATCCGTTCAGCAATACATTACAGGAATCCAACAACTTTAAATAATACACCCTTTTACATACTTAGGCAAATAAGGAGAGAAGGCAGCTAGCAATGTGCTGGGATATCATAGCAGCTGCATTCTGATGCTCTTTGTTCACAAAAGGAAATGGAGGTTGACTGCGTTGCTTTTTTTTAAACGAAGCCGAGCTTTTGAAGACTGATGCCTGTAATGCAAGAGCTATTCAGTAATATTTTACTTGAAATTTCATAAACTCCTGTATCTCATCATCCACATAAAATGCAAATCAGGAGACTGTTGATATGAAAAATGATGCCATATAGCAAGCTGTCCTAGTTCCAAACACAATTCTCCAACCCCCTAGGCTACTCTTTGTACCAGGTGTTCAGTGCCAATCTCCTTGACACGGCTGGCATCCATTACACCTTCTGTTACTGGAAGTCACGGCAAGAGGCTGTAGTACTGAAGTGTAAAGAAAGGCAGCAACGTTAATGGCATTCAAGTTGGCACACATGCCAAGTAGAAGAGGTCATCCATCTACACTCTGTAATCAGTCCGAGCTGAGTACCATCAAGCTTTCACATCCATAAATGAATTACGATAGGGCTGGTATCCTCCCCAACCTCGCATCACCTGTAATGCATAGCACACATATTTAATATTTAGTTTAGTTTAGTTTAATGCGATTTATATGCCGCCCTATCTCCAATGGACTCAGGGCGGTTCACAACAATAAAATGCACAATATCACCCTCAGACTTTCAACAATAGCATCTTTTCAAAGAATGGACATTTTTCACAGCTTATTATTATGACTGAGAATAATGACCTGGCAGTTCTCCCACAGCGCACTGAGAAGAGACGTGTCAGGTAAGCCCAACGTCCTTTTTCATTATAATTAAAGAGTACAGGTAGTCCTCAACTTACAGCAGTTCATTTAGTGACTGTTCAAAGTTACAACAGCACTGAAAAAAATGACCATTTTTCACACTTATGACCTTTGCAGCATCCCCATGGTCAATGTGATTTACATTTGGATGATTGACAACTGACTCACATTTATGATGACTGCAGTGTCCCAGACTCATGTGATCCCCTTTTGCGACCTTCCAACAAGCAAAGTCAAGCAATGGGGAAATCGATTCACTTAACAACCATGTTACTAATTGAAGAACTCTGGTGATTCACTTAACAACTATAGGAAGAAAAGTCATAAAATGGAGCAAACTCACTTAACAAACATCTCACTTAACAACATAAATTTTGGGCTTAATTGTGGTCGTAAGTTGAGGACTACCTGTGTTGCTTCCCAAACAAAGCTGCTTGAATGGAAATCCACCAGTAAAGTTTTAATGGGAAGGAGATGGGTGCTCCCCCTGCTGTGCCAATACTGCATTGTTTTGGAAGGCACTTCAGAAAGCAAAAATGGAGACAACATTCTTTGTGAAAATCATCTATGAAACAGAAAGGAGAAAAACCAGCTCCCATGCACTGGCTGTATGAAACAGCTAGGCTTAAGCATGTTTATGCTTCTGTGAGCAATTCACTTCCTCTTTTATGCAGCCATTAAAATGGACAGCCAAGGATCATTTCTTACATTTGTCATTTCAACACTGTTAACAAATACAGCAGAAATATTGGTTACACATACAGTAATATAAAAATAACTCCTTACACATCACTTAATTTTCTAGCATATAAATATTCTATTTGTGATAGTCTTCGGTCAAATGTCCTAATATTTGGCTTTTTTAACTATGCTGACATCTTTCTGTAATCTCTGTAATCAAGCAAGATCTGTCATTTCAACTTTCTAATGTTGTTTGTCAGACTTAGCTCTTCATCCTTCCCTCATTCAGACAACAACAAAAAACATATTTTTCTTGAGAGTACCCTCCCTATTTTGTCTGTAAAAGGCTGGATCTTGAAAAACACAAGGGTACTTTTGGGTAGAAAGCTTTGTGATGTACGCCAAAATTGCTGCATTACATTATAATGAACCATTTATCCCAGAGATGCACACTGCTGTTAGCTTAGCTCTTTTTTATGGGGAAAAATAAGTGTAACAAGAAAAATAAAATGTATACAAAAGGGCTCCAGCTAACTAAATGATGTTCTTAGAGGCAGTATATCTGAACCATGCAGCTCAAGAAAAAAAACATAGCCTACAGGTAACTACAGGTAGTATTCAACTTACGACCACAATTGGGACCAGAACTTTGGTCATTGCGATCTAAAGTTGCTTTCTTGCTGGAAATTCATAAAAAGGATAGTAGTTGTGACCGCAGGATGCTGCAACTGTAAATGCAAGGTGGATGTCAAGTGCCCAAATTGTGATCAAATGACCATGACGGTAGTGCGATGCTCATATGTACAAATGCAGGTCATTTTCTGAAGCGATCATAACTTTGAATATCATTTAACAAATGGTCTTAAGTTAAGGACTGCCTGTATGAACGTATGAAATTATTTTATTTTCTCTCTTTTCTGAATAGATAAAAATATTCAGAACTCACTGCTCACATCTATAGGACAATTCATGGTGTCTTGACACAACGATATTCAGGGATTATGTTTTGAGAACATGTGAGTGTGCTTGCAAAATGACTTAAGGAGGGATCTGTCTATTCAAAAAATGTGCGTCAAAGCAATGTAATAATTGGCAAATCACCAGAATATTGTCACTCCTAGCCTTCAATACCCACTTGATACACCCACTTTTTGGAAGAGTACCCTTCACAACAAAGGATTAGACTATAATTCTCACCATTTTGTTCTCTAAGTAAGTAAATGGGGCTATGTGGGCTATTATTAAAAAGAATAATAGTAAATTATTTTTAAGTAAGACATTTTCTCTTTTAATGATTTTTAAGTGTAACAGGTCAAGCAGTGCATGGTGAGTTAAAAAATGAGGTGCTTCTGATTATACTGCACTTCTAGGTACCGTATTCAGTCAAACTGAATCACAGATAATTTGAAAATATGATGGGCAACTGCTTCCTTCCCTCTAAGTGATAGTTTCATAGGCAAATCACATCTGAACGTGCAACTGTCCATAAATATCCTGAAACATGGCTCTGCAATAGGTATGTAATGTGTAAAATATACCCCACGTAAGCTTACTTTAGCGTCCTCTGGCTCCACTAGAAGTTCTTGTTCAGCCTCATGTAGCTCCTCCGCAGGATCATAACTGTACATTGGCAACAGGTGGTGGCGTAGTCGATCATATCTAGGAGGCAGATTTGTCAGAGTATAACCTAAAATTGTCCTCAAGCAATTAAAAGCTGCTACAATTTTTTTCTCATGACCCTGGCACTGGCTCAGGCAAGACAGAGCTACATCATAAAGCAATGTCAGGGATGAACAACAATCATAATTTCAGTAGAATAAACATTTTGAAATTTTAAGTAATTTAGTGTTCAAATGTGCTAGATCAATGTTTCTATTAGTCTCATGCATTAATAATTAATTCCAAGTAACTACGAACCAAATTTAAAATTAAAAAAAAGCTAAAATCAGTGATAGTACCATGTAAAACTGGAAGGAAAAGCAGTAAGCAATCTCATTCACCTTCTAATAAATTAATTTTTGTAGCTAGCCCATGGCTGCTATTCAATGCAACTTAGGCAGACCTTGCTTAATGAATATTCTATTTAGCGATCATTTGAAATTACAGTAGTGCTGACAAAGCAACTTTACTTTATGGAGATGGTAGCATCCTTGTGGTCAACTATTTACAACTATTGCAGTGTGCCAGCGATGTGATCACTACTTGTGCACTTCACAGCTAGCTTCCAACTAATAGACTCAATGGAGAAGCCAGCAGTATAATTGAAAGTTGTGGTCTTGTGATGTTTCACTTAACAATCATGTCACTTAGCACCAGAGTTCCTGATCCCATTTGTGGTCATTAAGCCAGGATTACGTGATTTTCCAAAATTTCAAATCTTCCCAGAAAGCTGAACTCCCCATTTCCCACCATAACTCAATACATAAGATTGGATGCTACCTAGTATGCTTAAAACAGGTATCATTATTCACTATATCAAAAAACAATACTCTCCAAAGTGATAATTTATAAGTATCTAAAATGGATCCTACAATACAACAGATATTGAAAGAATATTATTTTTAATACAAGATTTAAAAAAGAGTTACTATATCAAAATGCATCTTATTAATTTTAACTGTAATTCCAGAAGCCATTTTCCAGGACCATTTAATGAAAGAAAAAAGTGGAACATGTCATAATTCAACCAACATACGAAGAGCAATGTGCATTATTCTACTTTACATTATTTAGTGAATTGATCTGTCTCTTTTTACAGTAGAATAAGTATGCAATTGACTGCAGTATTAAAAAAAAGAGTCCCTTCTAGCAAGAAGATCTAAAAAGACAAAAAGCCCCAATCTCCTACTAGAATTTCTTACCTCCTTTTTTTCTGGATATACAACATCTACAATGACAAAGAGGAAGGAGAAACAATGATGAGAAGAATGTGAATATACGTCAGACATTATTTCTTCTAATTGGGAATAAAAATAAAACAAAAAAGAAAAAGAATACAAGGAATGTGAACATCAGAGTCAGCATTTGTGTCATTACTGCAATTCTCACAAGCCACATAATGGTAACATGTGGAACACCCAATTCATTTGACAGTGTCAAATGATAAAGATACTGAAAGATGGTAGATAAAATCTCACCAAAGTCCAGAGACCAATCTGGTACCTTCCAGGAATATCAGATCACAGCTACTTTACTTTCCACAACTAGTCTAGCCTTTGCTAATGACCAAGGACAATGAGAGCTGTAAGATACCACAGTAGGGATAACTGTATCTTTTCAGTAGAACAGTCCTATTTTGGCATCCCCTTTATGAAAGCTGTGACCCTTTAAGAAGCTACTTTCAGTTGCTGAGTATCTTGAGGTAATTGCAAGTTGCAGGGGCAACTTGCTCCTTGGTTTTATGCAATAAAATGTTTGTTTGAGCTGTGGCTTTCAGATACACTGAACATAAAAGTCAAAAGCAGAGCAGCTTTCATATAATCTACTTACATACCTACACCAAGCTACAAAATTTGTTTTAGGCATACAACTAAACAAAAACATTCAGGTTTTTTCAAACTTGATAATTTAAGGTTTTCTTAGTGTGTCCAAGAACTCCAGACTATGCATCGTTGAAGGCTATTGGAATGGTAAAGAAGAAACATTTTTGCTCAGCCTGAAGGGGAAAATATAATACTTATAGATAAGGAAAGCCAAATTATTTTTATTTGTGTAATCTATTACTGACTAATGATAGCAAACTTCAGTCTATCAAACAAGAATATCATCCTATTGCATTCCTACATCCAATAAAGTATTACTACTTTGACAAAAACAAGGCACAAACAGCAACAAACCAGCTGTACTCCCAGATATCCCATGTGCTAGGATATAGTCCCAACACACCTGGAAAGAACAATATTAGAGAATATTTTGTTAATCTGTATAGGATTCAGTCTGTAGATGATCTGAAAATGCTATTGGTGAAAAGCAGAAACATTTGTCGAGCTAAGTAAAGGACAACGATTTCCCCCAAAAACCTTGATGCAGAGGGTGACTGCATAACATACACAAGTGACACAGACAGAACTCTCACATTACTTTTAAAAGGCTTAATTATATATTTTTGTGACTTAGATCACTGGGATTTCCTGAGATGCAGTGTTCACAAGTGAGTATTTTTAAAATAATGGTGCTCACTAACTGAAAAGACTGCAACTGTTGCAACAGAAACTGTTGACTAAGAACTGATTTTTTTTTTCCCAAAGAAAAACTTTCCAGCATATTCCATTGTTGACATAAAAACTAGAGCAGCCTTTCTCTACCTCAGCAACTTTAAGATGTGTAATTTTCAACTCCCAGAATTCCCCACCCAGCATGCTGGTCTAGAAACCAAGTGCTTCTGTCTTGAGTCCACTCACCACTGCCATGACGATTCCAACAATGGTGATAAGGAAAAACGGCACTAGAATATAACCCACCAGGGAGTCATTGGTTGGCCCAGCAGAAGTGGGCATGGTGGTGTTATTCATGGCATAGAAAACTTGCTTGACAGGATCGGAGAAGCAGCTCCTGTCATCATTGGAAAGTCCACCTCACAACGATAAAAAAAAAAGTTTAGGATTAAAACACATCCTTAATGTTGCCATAAACCACATTCTCCTCCTCCTCCTCCTCCTCCCAAACCCACTGCCATTCAAACAACTGCACATAAGACAGTCACAAGCATATCACATGCTACTCCTCACACTAGAATCAATGAATGAAATCCTTTAAAATATTTAGCCCTGAGACATGAATTACAGCTACATGAAACTGAGAAAGGGGGTGAATGGGGAAGAAAAATAAGCCATTCCAAGACAAAAGGAGAGTGACAAGACAGAAAGTTCGAGTAATGGAAATAATGCTGGCATCTTGGTCTAAGCTAGTATAGCTGACCTCTAATATCTCGCTTTCTAAATATTTCCCATAACAGAGAAAAGCAAAACTGTGCAACCCCTACTCCACCCAACCCCCAGCACATTCTATTAGTAATATTTAATATAATAGCAAAATCTGTTCCATGCTAGGCTTGCCTACAAAATCAAGTACAAAAACTTGTTTTGGTTTAAGGTTAATAAACCTGTGGCCCTCCAGATGTTGATGATAGACTTCTCAATAGACGGCCAATGGAACAATACTGGAGAATACTGGAGAAATCCCAGAGACAATCCCCATTATCTACAGGTACAGATTTGTTTGGTAATCAAGTCCAACAATGCTGAATTAGTCTATGGTTCATATATTCATATTTCACAAATATCTTTATATCAAGATACTTGTAAATAAAGAAATAATCTTATAAGAATATTGGATAACATTTTTTTTCAAATTCTGAACTGGGAGTACAGGTTTTCATTGTAAATGGAACTGAATACCATTTGTAAATGCAACTGAGATACAGGATACACATATAATCTAAATTTATATTACTATGAGATGTAAGAAGCCACACTGGACAAGTTCTTTGTGGTCCCTTGCAATGATATGTGGGAATGACCTTGAGGGAAGAGGAGAAGAGATGCAGCCTAGGAAACTATCACATAAAAGAGAGAGGAGCCTGCAAATGGACAAAGAAATTAAGAAGGAGCCGTCCTAACATATCACACTGTTAAAGGTTACAGCAGGAGAGTTATGGCTTCTGTTCAGACTTGCAAGATTCTGTTAATGTAGTCTGACAGTTAACACAGTACTGGCTCATCTGGTCATGTTTTCGGTCTGGTTACTTGGGAGGGCTGATACCAATCTTGCAAGTCTCAAAATACAAATCTCTCCTAGTCATCAACTTGTTATAGTCTTAATACATTAGGGTGGATCCTTCGTAAATGTCTTTCTTTGCTTATTAAGCATTTACGATCCTTCAAATCTCAGATGGGAGGCCAATCCAAAGAACTGGGGCAGCTACAAAGGTAAGAGATGATCTCACAAATCTGACACTGTGTCATATAGAGCTTTAAAGATGATAACCAGCATCTATAACCACACCTAGAAAACAACTAGGGCAGTGATGGCTAACCTTTTTGCTGTCGCATGCCAAAAGTGGGGATCATGCCGGGGGGGGTCGCGCATGCATGTGCCCATACCCATAATTCAATGTGCCCCACCCCCGCACATGCACGCATGACCCCCCCGCGCGCTACCCCACTTTTGGCATGTGATGGCCCGGTGGGCCCCATAGGCCTGTTTTCTGCCCTCCCCAAGCTCCAGAGGCTTTCTTGGAGCCTGGGGAGGGCAAAAACGGCCTTCCCTCCCTCACCCGGGAGGCACTCCGGAGGCCGGAAACAGCCCGTTTCCCAAATTCAGGTGGGCCCGGAAGGCCCGAAAATTAACTGGCTGGCACACATATGCGCACTGGAGCTGAGTAGGGCAACGCTCGCGTGCCCACAGATGCAGCTCCATGTGCCACCTGTGGCACCTGTGCCATAGGCTCGCCATCACGGAACTAGGGCCTAGGGCAACTGATGCAACAGTAATGTAACTTGATGAATCATGGAGCACCCAGAATTAATATGCCACAGTAGTCTCAGCCAATTGCAGCTTCTGGATGTTCTTCAAGGTGCAGTAATCTAATCAGGAAGTGATTAAGGCATGACTGTGAGCAAGGCCTCCCAGGACAGAAATGGCACACCAGCAAAGGGCCTATGGCTGCCACCTGCTCTCCCAACAGGAGCTTCAAATATAGGACGACCACCAAATTGCATACCAGTTCTGTCCAGGGGAGTCTTACCCCATTCAGAGTCAAAGATGTCAGCTCTCTTGACTCCAGGAAGCCAAGACCCCACAACCACTCCATCTCGCTAAGGCTGAGCTGCAGCCTGTTTCTCCCCATCTAGGTCCTTATAGCCTCCAGGCTCTGAGAAGGAAGTTAAACAGCTTCACTTGCTCAGCATGGGTAGATATGCATAATTTGGTATTGTCAGCACACTGATAATACTGAACTCCAGATAAGGCTGAATTTACCTTGAGCTAACAATGTGAAGAACTACAGAAACAAATGAACTCAATGCCTACGAGACATTGTTTTACAGCTATAATTCAATACTGGAGAATCATTTACATATTTAAAAAAGAAGCTGGGAATTAAATGGAAGGATGCCATCTATGATAAACACTTGTGGAAGAGAATCAACCTAATGAACAGAAGACATTTCTTTACTTTCTGTGTCAATTCTTAAAAACCCAAACACATAGCAAATGCCACATCCTGAGCGCTTATAGATTTACACATTCCTTCTTATTCTGAAAGCCACATTTCAGATTTGCTGGCAGAGTGGAAATTTGAATTGGGGCCTTTTGCCCCTTTCATTGTTTGCAACCTGGCCCTTCCCAGATTTTCTGTGATCACAAGAAACAAATTTCCAGCAACCACATTCATTGATTAAACAACAGCTAGCAAGGCTCAGCTGCAAACATCCAGATTATCACTAGATGAAAGCAAAGAGATACATAAGATTCTATCTTTTTACTGCCTTCTAGTTACTGCCTCAACCTTTCTTAGGTAAGGCTACAATTGGCTTGGAGAGTTCCATGGTGCCCCATTAGTTCCATGGCACCCTCAACTTATGACCACAATTGAGCCCAACATTTATGTTACTAAACAGGACAGTTAAGTGAGTATTGCCCCATTTTATGAACTTTCTTACCACCCAGTTGTTAAGTGAATCACTGCAGTTAAGTTAGTAACAGAGTTAAATGAGTCTGGCTTTCCCATTGACTTTGCTTGTCAGAAGGTCGCAAAACGGCATCACATGATCCCGGGACAATGTAACAGTCATAAATACATGCCAATTGCCAAGATGCAATTTTGATCATCTGACCATAGGGATGCTGCAACGGTTGTGTGAAAAATGGTCACAGGTCATTTTTTTCAGAGCTGTTGTAACATTGAACAATTACTAAACAAGTGGTTGTAAGTCGAGGACTACCTGTACAGTAGACTCATGGTCATTACTTATGCATTAACTATAACTTCCATAATAATGTATTTCATGTATACATTCATGTACATTATGTAATGCCTAATGTATTTCATATATATATGCAGAGAACTACTTTAATCCAGTGATTAAGGCACCAGGCTAGAAACAGGAGACTGTGAGTTCTATTCCCATCTTAGGCATGAAAGCTGGCTGGGTGATCTTGGGCCAATCATTTCACAGGACTGTTGTTGTGGGGAAAACAGGAGGGGGGAAAGAGTATCAGATAAATTCACAGGCTTGAGTTATTTATAAAATAATAAAGGCGGAATAATATGTATATAAAACCCTGCATGGGATGTAGCATTAACAGATAGATGAGGTGGCAGACATTGGCAAATCCTACCAGTGGCTGGACTAAAAAACAGCACAAAGGCATAGCAGCACAAGAACAAGCAGTAAGCACCAGATCCATAGGAGCAAGAGTCTACCACAGTAGACAGAATCCGAGCTGCACGCTGTGCAGAGGCCTCAGAGACAATCCAATACATAGTGGCAGGGTGTAAGATGCAGACAGGAACAGTATGCACTGAGCGGCACAACCAAGAAGCTGGCATTGTGTACAGAAACATCTGCAGTGTATAGGCTAGACTCTCCTAAGTCCAGATGGAAGATTCTACAAAAGGTTGTGGAAAATAACAGGGCTAAGGTCATGTGGGACTTCCAGATCCAGACCGACAAGATGATACTGATCAATCAACAGACATCACGGTAATAGACAAGGAGCAGAAGGTATAAGATGATGATAGATGTAGTGATGGCAAGTAAAAGCAACATTAGGAAGGTGTATGAGAAGCTAGAGAAGTACCAGAGCCTGAAAGCCGGATTAGAGAGAATGTAGAAATTAAAGACCAAAGTGGCCCCAGCAGTGGTCCCAGCATCAGGGCTGTGACTCCGAAGCACCAACAAATCCTATGAACACCATTGAAGTGCTCTGTCCAGAAGAGCTACAAACAGCTAAAATACTGTGCAGAACTCACAAACTCCCAGGCCTCTGTAAAAGTCAATAGATTTGGGTTTTGGAAGATTTTGCACATATAGCTGCAACTTGGTTACTGAATACAGCAATACATTATGATCAGTAGTGGGTTTAACTTAACTTCGCTATCAGTTCAAAACTGTGAGTGTGCACAGAGCGTCCGTGATGATGTCTGGGTGGGTGGGCAGAGCCTCCCACCACCACCACCACCAGTTCGCCCAAACTGGGGCGAACTGGTAGAAACCCACTGATTATGATGAAAATAAAGCATATATGAAAATAGCTTATGGTGTGGTATTGATGAGGGTTAAGTAAGCAAGGTTGTGCGATGTTATGTTGGTTGTTTAACATATTTATGATGAATATATAAACAATACATGTGTTCACACAAATATATGTTTTTTATGGTTTCCCATACAGTATGGTTAGATCAGAACACAATGATCTCCAGTGAATGTTACTATATGATGCCATGAGGAGTGAAGAAAATTTTAAGACGGATGCTGACTGATAGATGGTATGTGCTAAGTACAAACAATTGTTAATTTTGAAAGAAGTAAAACTAGAGGAGGACATGAAAACGCTTCATCAAATGGACATCAGCTTTGGGAAATTCAGTGAATGTTCAATATGTAAAATGTATGTTGAGGTGTTTTGGATATACAGAAAGAATGAACAACTGAGATAATAGGAGGAGAAAATTGAGAAAGTCATTTTTGGGTGGATTTGATGAGATCTTGAAAAAGAGGAAGGTGAGAAGTTTAGAGAACAAAGATAAATATATGAAACAGTACATAGACATTGTGGAGGCAAGAACAGGATAGAAAGTTTCCAAAAGGCATAATTCATGGCATTGGCATTAACAGACTTTTAACTATTTCACCTTCTCCTCACCTCAAATAACATAGTTTACCCAGAAAGAAAAGTTAAATAAACAAAACCAGTGTTTCGTTTTAACAGTCAAAAAATTCCTTTGACAATATTGATTTACTTGCCCCATCTACCCTTTACATTTACATAACCCTTTCAGATGTGATTATTTATTAAGAACCGGAGCCTATATTATACCCTATGATTCCACATGTTCCTCTGGTTTCTATTAAGTAAAATAAGAAAACCTAAAACCCTATGAAAGGAAACCATAAAATTATCCCAATGCAGATTATTTTTTAAAAAGTATGTATAATCATAATTATGAAAATCAGAAAGAAGGCTACCTTATTTGCAATTATGTAGTCAAAAGGCTCCCAAAGAACTTTTTTTTTAAAAAAAAAATCTAAGTTAACCACAGTGCTCAAGTTGGCTTAGAAAAGCCACAGAGCAGTGTTTCTCAGCCTTGGCAACTTTTAAGACGTGTGGACTTCAATTCCCAGAATTCCCCAGCCAGCATTCCCCAGGAATTCTGAGAGCTGAAGTCCACACCTTTTAAAGTTGCCAAGGCAGAGAACTCCACCAGATCCCGACAAACAGAAGCATCCTCCAGTGATCCAAAAGGCTTTCAAGGAGACGACAGATAATTGGGGGGAAAGGCCTATGTAATTCAGCAGAGTAAACACAACTCAAGCCCATAACCATCCAAACCACAGAGCAGCGTCCTCTGGCAAACTTAAGAATTCAGGGCCGGCCCGTTTTATTCACCTAATCTCCAAGCCTTTAATCTCTCTCCTCCTCCTGTTTCCAGCAACGGCAGCGCTTACCTCTTCGGCATTCCCAGGTTTACAACACCATCTCCGTATATAAAAGCACCTCCGCAACGCTCATCTTCTTCCCGGAAGTCTCGCCTTCGAACTGGGTGGGTGGAGAGAACACACGAGAAAAATCAATGCGTCTCCACCTCCCAGCCATTTCCCTCCTTCACTTCTCCATTTGCTTGCAGTGGGGCGGACCCAGCTCTTTACCTCCCTTCCTCATTTCCTGACCCCCTGCTCAGACCTTCCTACTCCTGGGTTACAGCTACTCCCATAGGTTATACCGAGTGCCAGTCATTTCCCTCTGTAACTGGAACAGTGTCCCTCTTCCGCTTTTCCAGCAGGCTTATTCACTCAGTCGAAGGTATCATACTGAGTGCCTTCGCTGTGTTTAATTATCAATATTTTCCAATTTATTTTCTCCTTTTGGTGTGGGCTACGTGGTCTATTGTATTCTGGCTGTGAGTGAGTTTGCCGGGGCTCCGGCAGCTACTCACCTTTTTTTGTGTTTTTATTTCCAAGTGGGGGGGTGGGGGGAATGCTTCGAGCGTGTTCTCCCCTGCAGCCTCAAGCCGCGGGAGCAAAGCTGGTTCACTGGCGTGCAGGTTGAGCCTCCTTCTCCCTCGTAGTCCTCACTGTGGTTTTTTTGGTTTGGTTTGGTTTGGTTTTTTTCCTTTTTGAAGCGGCTTTGGAGTCCCTGCCGGCTGGCATACTCTCGGTGCTTGGAGGACGCTTCGTGGCAGTTTCTAAAAGCCCCTTAACTGTTTGCTGGCTTAAAGAGATATCGCCCCTTTTTTTGCCTGTTTGGAGTTCGTTGGGGCGTTGGTGCTTTGGAGGCTGCTGCTGCTGCCTGCTTGATTGGCGTGAGGGGATCGTTCTCACGTCCACCATTTTGCCGCCCGCCATTTTTTTGGCAATTTGGGCGCGCTTTTCTTCTACCCCCTGGGCTTTGGTTCTCAAGGGCGGTAGCGAAGCGTTTTGGCTTTGGACGCTGTCCATACTATCCTGCCTCCTGAACTCTTGATGTCTGCCTGCCATTAAGGGAAGTACTATACTTTATTCTGGTTGTCCTTGCAGGGGTGGCGTAAAAAAAAAAACAGGGAAAAAAAGTCTCTGTAATAGGATTCATTGATTGGTCTAGCCTTTCATCTTCATACCTCATTATGGAGGACATTGAACTATCTTCTGATTTAGAACTGGAGCCTTCCCCAACTAGAGGTCCTTCTCCAAAAACAACTAGGGGAAGAAAGGCTAAGGGGGGCCTTTTATCAGGTTCGCCTGATCCGCCAGTTGCGGCCCTTTCTGGACCGGGACGCCTTGGGCAAGGTCACTCATGCCCTTGTCACCTCCCGGCTGGACTATTGTAATGCTCTCTACATGGGGCTCCCCTTGAAGAGCACTTGGAGGCTCCAGCTGGTCCAGAATGCGGCCGCGCGGGTGGTTATGGGCGCACCTCGTTGTGCCCGCGTGACACCCCTCCTGCGCGAGCTGCACTGGCTCCCAGTGGTCTTCCGGGTGCGATTCAAGGTGTTGGTTACCACCTTTAAAGTGCTCCATGGCACAGGACCCGGTTACCTTCGAGACCGTCTTCTGCCACCAATAGCCTCCCACCGACCAGTCCGTTCCCACAGAGAGGGTCTCCTCAGGGTGCCATCAACCAAGTTATGTCGGCTGGCGACACCCAGGGGGAGGGCCTTCTCTGTGGGAGCCCCAACCCTGTGGAATGAACTGCCCCTGGAAATACGTAAGATCTCCAACCTCCGGGTGTTCCGCTACGCACTGAAGACCCTGTTGTTCCGCCAGGCAGGGCTGTCAATATAATAATTTTGAATTGGGGTATTTTAATTTTTGGGGTTTTAAATTGGCCAAATCTATTTAATTATTTTAATTTTTAATTATTGTTGTGTCTTGTGTTTTTAAATTGGCTGTACACCGCCCTGAGTCCTTCGGGAGAAGGGCGGTATAGAAATAAAATTATTATTATTATTATTAAGGCTTCTAAGGCCACCAAAACTCTGCCTGCAGTAGATAAGGAGGCCCAAAGAAGGCATAATGCCTTAGAAAAGCAATTTAATAAGGCACAACGCCAGGTGCAACAGTCCTCCTGCCCCTTAGAGCCTGTAGTGACTATTGTCCAGCCCTCAGCTAGTACCATTGTTTCCTCTCAGGAGATTGACCAGCCTGCCTGTTCCCAGTGTGCCATGGAGCCTGAATTACAGGCACAAGCCTTGCATACTGTTTCCACTGATTTGGCTCCTCCAAGACCTGTCTCTGCAGAAGTCACGAGCCAGTCTTCTCAGCTGCCCCATATTGTGCCTGAGGCCACTTTTCCCACCGCTGCTGCTGGGTTTCTGTCAGGGGAGCGTCTCAGTTACAGTCCAGTTCTGGATTTCCAGTCCCTGATATCACAAACTCTAACTCGCATTTTCCAGGCAGGTTTGCAACAAACTGCCTGTTTATTGCCTCAAGAAGGGGTAGCTGCAGCTCCTTGCCAATTGCCTCCACCTGTAATGCAATCTTCTGTCTCCTCTTATGGACATTTGCCTGAGCAGGTCCGGGAGGAGGAATATTTAGAGGACTTTGACCTTTCAGAAGATGAGGAAGCTGTTTCAGAGAAGCCAGCATTTCCAGGTTTGTTTGTTTGTTTGTTTGTTTTATTCAATTTGTATACCGCCCTTCTCCTAGTGGACTGAGGGCGGTGCACAGCCAGAACTAAAACACATATCAATACAAAATTTAAAATTATTAAAAGAATTACATATTTAAAACAATTCGAATTAAAACCCATTGACAGATTAAAGAGCTAAAAAACTAAAAAAGGGGGGGGGGGTTCACGCCAGCCCTGCTTGATGGAAAAGAAAAGTTTTCAGGGCACGGCGAAAAACCTGGAGATCCAATATCCTTCTTATCTCCGAAGCAAATCGTTCCAGAGGGCTGGAGCTGCCACAGAGAAGAAGGCCCTCCCCCTGGGGGTCGCCAGCCGACATTGCCTGGCTGACGGCACCCTGAGGAGTCCCTCTCTGTGGGAGCGTACTGGTCGGTGGGAGGCTATCGGCGGCAGAAGGCGGTCCCGCAAATACCGAGGTACTATGCCATGGAGTACTTTAAAGGTGGTAACCAACACCTTGAAGCGCACCCGGAAGACCACTGGAAGCCAATGCAGCTCACGCAGGAGAGGTGTCACATGGGAGCGCCCCCTCGCTCCCGTAATCCCCTGCGCGGCCGCATTCTGCCCTGCGCGGCCGCATTCTGCACCAGTTGGAGCCTCCGGGTATTCCTCAAGGGGAGCCCCATGTAGAGAGCATTGCAGTAATCCAGGAGGGAAGTGACGAGTGCACCTGGCGAATCAGGCGGACCTGATAAAAAGCCCCCCTGGCCACGGCAGTCATATGCTCTTCTAAAGACAGCAGTGCATCCAGGAGGACGCCCAAGTTGCGAGCCCTATCCGTGGGGGCCAATAACTTGCCCCCAATAGCCAGCGATGGCACCAGCTGGCTATATCGGAACGCCGGAAGCCACAGCCACTCGGTCTTGGAAGGGTTGAGTCGAAGCCTGTTACTCCCCATCCAGATCCGCACGGCCTCCAGGCACCAGGACATCACTTCAAGGGCAGCGTTGGGATGGCCTGGGGTGGAGATGTACAGCTGCGTATCATCAGCGTACTGATGGAACTCCACCCCAAAGCCACGGATGATCTCACCCAACAGCTTCACATAAATGTTGAACAGAAGGGGCGAGAGGACCGACCCCTGAGGCACCCCACAAACAAGGCGCCTCGGGGTCGACCTCTGCCCCCCTGCCAACACCGACTGCAATCGGTCGGAGAGATAGGAGGAGAACCACCGCAGAACGGTGCCCCCCACTCCCAACCCCTCCAACCGGCGCAACAGGATACCATGGTCGATGGTATCAAAAGCCGCTGAGAGATCTAACAGGACCAGGATAGAGGAACAACCCCTATCCCGAGCCCTCCAGAGATCATTATTTAAGCCTTCATTGTTCAAATCATTGTTGCACAAGGCCAAAATGGCCACTAACACGGACAGTGGGGTAGACCAACCTTCTACTTCTCACACTCCTCTGGAAATTTATTCCCTATACCTAAACCAGACTATGACTTTGTCCCTTGTCCAGACCTTTCTTCACAGGTCATACAAAAGCCATGGGAACACCCTGCTTCGTTATCAGGTCCCAATTCCTTTGACAGAAAACTGTATTGTTCAGCACCTGAACTGGATGCCTTGCTTCAATTACCGGATGTGGATAAACCTGTTGCCAGCCTTACATCATCCTCGGTCCTGGTTGGAGAGGTAGGAGACGGTCTCAAGATGGAGGACAAAAAGGCTGAAATGGGTTTCCGCAAGACACACCAGGCGGCTGCCTGGGCCATTCGAGCAGCTACTTCTGCCTTGTTTTTCAATAGGGCGTCACTCGTCTGGCTTCGCCAGCTTCGGGATAGGTTGCCTCCAGAAGAAGCGCGTTTGCATCAGGATGTATCCAAGATTATCGCAGCAGCTGAGTATGCGGCGTACGCTTCCTTAGATGCAGCGAAATTCGCTTCATGGGCTTTGGCGTCTACGGTGTCGTCTCGTCAGCTTCTCTGGCTATGCCACTGGAGGGCTGACATGAAGTCCAAGTTGAGACTCACAGCTGCGCCCTATAAAGGTTCTTCCCTCTTTGGGGCATCTCTGGACTCTGTATTGGTGGAAGGAAGAGACAAAAAGAAGGTTTTGCCTTCTGCCTTTAGACGCTTGGATCGCAGGTACTCACCTTATTCCAGACAACCATTTCATTCTGACCTGGGCTCCAGTGGTTCCTCTTTTCAACGAGCAACACCCTTCACCTATTCTGCTTCAGACGGTTTTTCCTTTCGTGGCCGTGGCAGGCGTCCAGCCGGTTTCAAGCGTCCTTTCAGGGGTTCCTTCTCCCGTCAATCCCGTGGAGGAAAGTGACTCTCCGGCTCCAGTTCCCATTGGGGGCAAGCTCCAGTCATTCTACCACCAATGGGAACTCACCACATCGGATGCTTGGATTCTTCGCACTGTCACCACTGGTCTCACCTTGGAATTCATCTCTCCTCCACCAAGCCGTTACCTGCAGTGTCCTATGCCGGTTCAGCTGGCCAAACGGCATCTCATAAACCTCGAGATTCAGCATCTTTTACAGATCGAGGCTATAGAGCCGGTCCCGGAAGACCAGGTACGGACCGGGTATTATTCCATCTTGTTTCTTGTTCCAAAGAGTTCAGGGGCCTGGAGGGGTATTCTGAATTTAAAACAAAACCTCCACGTGCTGTATCGCCGTTTCAAGATGCACTCTCTCAAGTCTCTTCTCGGCTGCATCCTACAAGGGGATTTCATGCAATCCATAGACCTGAAGGAGGCTTATCTCCATGTGCCCATCCACCCGGCACACAGGCTATTCCTGCGGTTTGCCTTTGCAGGTCGTCATTTTCAATACAAAGTGATGCCCTTCGGCCTCTCGTCAGCACCGCGCACTTTCACAATGATCTTGGCGGAGTTGGAGGCGTCCCTCAGAGAATTGCCGGTTCGCCTAGTTATCTGGACGATATTTTGATCCTTTCATCTACGACCAGTCAGGCAGTCCAGGACAGGCATCTGGTGATCGAGGCCTTGCAGACCCACGGCTTCACACTCAATCTGGACAAGAGTCATCTTTGCCCAACGACCCGCATCTTACAACTGGGGGCAATAATAGATTCGATTCAAGGTCTAGTTTTCCTG